TCCAGTTTCCAATAACATTGCATCCACAATATGTGTCCACCCATTTGGATTAAAAGTCGTGCCTGTACGATTTCCTTTTCCAACATCTTCCTCCATCAAGAACATGAATTTCTCTTGATGGGCATCACACCAAACAACGGCATCGGCCTGTTCAATAACTACAACATCCTCACCATTCTCACCATCAAGAGAATGAATGTCTTTTGATGGGTATTACTCAACATTGTCATTGTTCATGTCCATTTGATTATTATTAAAGTAATTAAACAGTTTAGTAAATTGTTTATATCATACTAATTTTAATGATCAAATTCAATGGTACTACATTACATTAGAATTTAAAATTCAATGGTACTACATTTCAATTGTGTTTTGACTCATAATTCAACACGTCAATGATAAGTAAAGAAGGTACTGTCTATGAAACACTTCAATCCAACTCAGAAATGTTCCTCCTAATACATTGTTATAGTGTACAGTAATTATGGAGTAGAATAGAAGATTACTTCAATTGTGTACAGAAATGTTCCCCTTAATTCAACAAGGGACACCGCCCACAAAATTCATTCAATCAATTCAATAAGGGACAATGCCCACAAAATTAATCCATAAATCCAAGTAAAATTGCCCGTTCTCCATCTAAACTACTCCAACAAGCAAAAGATTGACATCTATTGTACCATTGGACCAAAGCAACGAGAAAGAACATGCTTTTATAGATGAAGCCCTGAAAAAGCCTTAAAATGCCTACCCCTTACACCCTGTTTTAATTCTCAGTAAATTCATTTACATTTATGAAGAGATCCAAGATATCACACACAAACACTCACTCTCTCTCTCACACACACACTGCCTTAGAAACTGCAATTATAGATATTTAGCTCATATGGACAAAAAAGAGAGTTCATAGCTAGAATCTGAAAATATGTATACAAAACAGAGACACATACGGAAATATAATTTGTATTAAGGAGAGAGAATGTATTGGCAGAGAAGGGGTCAGAGGTGTTAATGGAGTGGAAAGGACGACCACACAGATATAGATGAGTTGTGATGTGTGTTGTTGTGTGAAATTAAATGTGTTACACGAACTCTCAAACTTCATTTAGAAAAAAAGTCATTACCAACTGCTGATTTTGCCTAAACATAGCACTTGGAGGGAAATACACTTGCAAATTCAGAAGCTTTAGCCTTTCAATCAACGCACACCTTAACCTGAGAAATCAGAGAGAAAAACAATACAAAACCGTCAGATCCTCCATCTAACAACTATGAACTAGGATTTCGGTGGAAAAGATAGAATTGACTCACACACCTGAGATAATAGACACGATCGGCCTATTAGAGAAACACAGGGAAACCTTCGACTTTGCATTCCAAAGCACGAACTAGGGTTTTGGTAAAATCACCTCACACACAAATCGGTCACGGAACAGAGATGGACGAAAGCAAATACAACGGAGATTGCAAAGAAAACCTTGTACGATCATGGATTTGTCAATCTTGAAGCAAATCGACAACACCCAACCTTCGTTTCAAAGGAATCGCCCCTCAGTCGCCTCCGGAGTGCAAAGACGAAGAGAGAAATATTCTGCAGAAATGAGCTAGGGTTTCTAAAATTAGGTCTTATACGTGATATGCCGCTACAGTATAACTTGATATTGGTTTGGACCGGCTGTTTTTGGTTTCGCCTTTTGGTATGGCCGCTAAAGTGTTGAAAACACTCAATATCACAATTTTGGTGATATGGGTTTTGCCCCAAATCTGAAAATGATATGGACCTTTTCAAAAACATATCAGCCCACACCAAATGAGATATGGGCCCAAAACCGAAACCAAAACACCAAAACCAATAACATTTTGGCCTTTCGAACAGGCCCTAAGGCTAAGTTGTTATCTAAGGCGCCGGGTCAAATTATCCACTTGAGTTAATTTTCTTGATGTTAATAGAGTCAAATTATTATCCAATTGACTCAATTTTCTTGAAGTTAATAGAATGATATTTCATTAAGATACTCAAAAATTAAAAACATTTTCTATTTGTTTCAATATTTAGTGAATGATCTCAACCACTTGAAACACATTTTACAAATCTTCAAATTTTTATATTAGAGAAACACAAAACATAGGTGTAGTTCAAAGTGTAAAAACTTCTTTACCTTCAAAAAAAAAAAAAAAAAAAAAAAAAAAAAAAAAGGCTTTATATATATAGTACAAAATGTAATGACATTTTTCATATGTTATTAAAATGTAATCAACTCAAAAAATTATATTAATTCTAGATTGGTCCAACTCCATTTTACCCACACATATTAAAGCTCAACAAATCTAGGCACCGGACAAACTAGGTTCGGCGATGTGGTGATGGATTTGAATTCAAGCTTGTTTCGGTTCCTCTTCTTTATAAGATTTTGTGTGACTTACATGAGGCGGAATGATTGTGGAAAATAACTAGGAAATAATACCTAAAGAGATGAATAGATTCAACTTCTCCTTTTATTTGACTTTTGCCGAATTTAATTTTTACAAAAATAAAAACTAATTATTAACCACAAGCAAAAATAAAAGTGCAAGTAATGAAAAGTATGAGTTAGATTTGGGCACAAAAATTTTAGCGAGTAAACCTAATTAAAAATATTCATCTAATGACCTAATGAGAGTACATGACTACTTGGATTCACTCATTATTCTTGGTCACTGGTTTTAAGTGAGACTCTTATAATATAATTGATATGTCATTCATGGTCACATTAGTTATAGGGGTAAGGTAGCGTTGCTTCTACATTGGGATTCAGGTGTTGATGCTCAATTCCTTTTATATTTGTATTGTGTCTTTGGGATTTGGGTGTGACATGTTACATAGCTCAAGGCACCATTGTGAGTCGGTCTTTATTATTATTTTTTCTTTTCTATTTAAGAAGATAGTGAGAATTTACCATAAGGCCTATGACCCAACGGTATAACCTCTCCATCTTTAAAAAAGAGGGGATGGATTCGAGCCCTGTAAACAAAAAAGTGTGTGTGTTTGCTTTATCATTAAAAAAAAAAAAAAAAAAAAAAAAAGAGTGAGAATTTCACAGTCTTCTATTTAAGAAGCATGATTACTTTAGTTAAAGTGCGATGGCAATATCGAATTCTCAGAATTATGCGAATACAACATGAACATGTATTGGTTGAACACAACATAGACACAATTTGGATACTTTCAAAACACAACTGAGTGATTTTGTAACTATCTTATTTTAACAAGATGGGATTCAATGTTTTTGATACATATTATGGTTTAATTAGAAAAAATATAGACTGCATATATAAAATTTAAGAAGACAAACAACAGACACATGTAATTCTAAACTCCAAATGAGTGGTTCCATTCATGATTACAAGATCGAATGACTAATAAAATTTCTTTATATATATAAAATAATATATTTATTATTTAGGTAAAGTAAGTACATAGACATCCCCTCAGGTTTGGGGAAAGGCCAAGCAGAGGAAAGTTGGCCTGTTTTTGGACAATGACACCCCTTCAAGTTTGAAAAATGGACAAAGAGACCCTGAAAATGGTGAATTGACCTTATTACCCTTTGAAATAAAATTAACATTTTAATTGACTTAAATACCCTTTGATTAAACCCGAACCCGAACCCGAACCCGAATGTATATTATACAGTTCACCAGAGGAGAGAGAAGGGAGATCAGATGGATGGTGGTTGTGGCTGCGATGGTGGGTGTAGAGAGAGGGGCAGCTATAGTTGAAGAGATAAGGTGAAGAGGAGAGGGAGGAAGAAGATAGGAGAGAGATTGTGGTGATGGCTACGACAATGGGGGTGGCAGCGATGAGTGCGATAGTGGCGGCGAAACCCAAAAGCATCGGCGAAACCCTAAAATTGCTGGCGAGGACCAAGCTCCGATGACGATAAGGCCACGGACTGAACAGTGTGGTAAGGTTTAGAAACTGACGAGCAGAAACAATCAGGCGAGGACCAAGCTCCGATGACGACAAGGTCCAGATGAGCACAGTCCAATGACCGTCACCTGCAAGGCCGAGGAGGCTAAAGTGGCCATCCCCTCTGCCGTCTGGTTTGAGTCTGATTAGAGCCCTTTCCGTGCGCAGATAAGAACTGGGGATGGTGATGTGTGCAGATAAGGGAGTGATATATGTATGTGTGTATGTGTGTGTATGTGTGTGTGTGTGAGTGTGTATAGAGAAAGAGATGGGAAGAGGTTGGTGGTGGCGGCGGCGGCGGCGGCACCGATCTCATCCTCAAATCTTCTCTGCAGGCTCAAACATCAACTATCTGCAGCTGTCAAGAATCAAAGACGCCAGCGTGGGGAACGTCTCTGTCAATCCAAGTCAAACCTGACTTGTCCGAGGCCAAGTTCGTCGCCCGAACCGAGGCTGAGCTTATGGAGGTTGGGGGTTAGTGATTATGGAGGTTGGGGGCGGTGGTGACTGGTTGTTGGTGTGTGTGTATATATATAAGTATATATAAAGAGAGATAAAAAGGGTAATTTGGTCATTTAAATTTTTAATATTTTATAATTAAAATTAATAAAATAGTGAAGGGTAAAGTAGACTTTTCACATGATTTAAGGCTCTGTTTGGGGTGCAAATTTCACACGGGGGTGTGTTTGTCAAAAAATAAATCAACTTTCCTTTGCTTGGCCTTTCCCCAACCTTATGGTTGTCTTTGTGCTTTACCTTATTATTTATATTACATGTCTGTTATATTTTTTCGAATTTTGGTGTATTGTTGTGTCAAGACTTTTATCGCAGACATGATGTGTCCGGCTATTACTATTCTTTGGCAAGGAGATTCAGACCAAATTTGATTACTTATGTGCTTTATACTGTAATACAAATATTTTTTAAGTTTTTCTGTTTTTTATTTTTTTTCTTCCATTTACCACACAAAAAAAAGAGAGAAAGAATGAATTTTTTTTTTGCACTTGATAATGGTGATATATATCTCTCTGTGTGAATTCTTTCATGAATATTGAATATATAATTATTACTTTGAATCTTCAAAGCTACTCGTATTGTTCACACAATATATATTTATATATATATATATGGAATATCTAACCTAAATCTGTTTTTTTTGCAAAATTTAAAATTGCAAATGTATTATTCAAATAATTGTGATATTGGAGGAAATTAAATTGAAGATGGAAATTAACATCAAAGAGAGAAAGATCAGGAAGAAGGAGAGACAAGACGAAGATGGAAGAGAAGGCATTAGCACGACAGCAGCAGCAGCAGCAGCAAATGTTGGTTCAACATCATCAACAACAACAACAGTTCCTACTCTTACAACAACAGATCCAACAACACCACAAACAACAACAACAACAAGCAATCTCTCGTTTCCCTTCCAATATCGACGCTCATCTCCGACCTCAAGGACTTCTTCACCGTCCCATCATCAACCCGCAACAGCAACAGAATTCAAACCCCAACCCCAACCTTATCCCTAATCAACAGCAACAGCAACAACATAACCCTCCTAATTCAAATCCTCCTCATCCTCCTCAACATCAACAATTGCAGCAACAGAAGGTCAATCATCGACCCCCACCAAACCAGAACCAGAACCAGGCTCCGGAGCTCCAGATGGCTTACCAGGATGCCTGGCGAGTCTGTCATCCCGACTTCAAACACCCTTTCTCTTCCCTCGAAGACGCTTGTGAGAGGTAATTTTCTTTCATTCTTTCTTGACAAGTATGTATTTTTAATCCATTAAGGTTTTCCACAATTCAATTTTGTCTGTACTGTGCATTGCATATTCTCCTCTTCGTTTCCTTATTTAGACACATCCACATACTAATATCGTTCATCATCACGTCCTTCTCGTAATTTCTTGCTGGTGCATTTTCTACAGCGACATCTCTCATCCAAAATACTGCATTTATGCACTCCAATTTCAAGGGATTCTCTATCCTCTCAAAATAATCTTTTATGCACCACAATTATTCTTTTTCCTTGGATAAGTGACAGTTTGATTGGACTTTACTCTGGAATATTTTTATATAAACAAACATAGCTGACTATGTTTTTCAATAATTTATTTTCATATTAGTTTGTTACGTACCTGTGCAAGTTTAATGATTCATTGATTGACTTTGAGAAACTACAAAACAAGCAAACATGCCAAGTTCTTAACCAATGTTTTAGATTTTTTTTTCCCCTTGTAAGTTGAAGTCTCTTATTAGTTCAACAGAACAAGGAGGTTCTTGTGCTGAGTCTGCTGATGTCGTTGTCTCCCAAGGTCTCTAATTAGTTCAACAGAACAAGGAGGTTATCTTGCTGAGTGTTCTGATGTGGTTGTCTCTCTAAGTCTTGATACTTGTCCTTATCTCGATTCAATGGGTTGCTTCCACAAGGATTGTCTTTTTGGGATGCGGTAAGGGCAATAAATTGTGGCTACATGGGTAGAAAGACACTGCTGTTGTTGCACAATGGTGACAAGTTTCTACAATAAAGTTTATTGCAATCCTACTTTTTGCTTCTACACATCAATGGAATTATCCATTGACTGGTAGTTGATTAAGGTAAAGGTTTGTCTACTGTATATTGCCACGCCATAGTGACATATGTCATCTGGGTGTTAAACAATGTCTCTCTGAGTTAGGCTGAGGTGTGTTCAGAACTCGAGGATAGGTTCAACGAACCTTGGACTTCAGCCATCTAGTCAAATACCTCGTAAGAGCCCATAGGCTATTGTTTGTAAAGATGCCCACAATCAAATATAACGATGAGCCACCTCCCATGCAATGGAAGCTTCTCAAGTCTTGTTAACGTGCATTAGATCTTTGATTTTCAAGTGAGGCTTATATGTAAAGAGTCCTTGCAATAACCTTCAAATGAGGTTTATTTAAGAAGAGGAAGTTTTTTGGGTTATTTTTAGATACACCAATAGAGAAGTGAATAAGGCTAATTTGTAGAGAGGAGATTCCCGTAATGTATTTGGCAACTTTGAGGGTTGTTTGTAGGGAAGAGTGCTCGCAAATTTATGACTTTTTGAAAGTTTGTAGCCAAACCCAATAAATGCACAAGAAGACTAAGGATTGTTTGTAGTGAAAGGGATTGCACGATTGGAGAAATGGGCGATCAAGCTCAGATGAATGTAATAAGCCTGTTTCAGATATTAGGCGATGAATCGAGTTAGATAAGAAAGTCAACGATAGATGTTGTGTTTAGCTAGATGAGGCAAATGTTGTGCCTTGTAACTGACACTTGTCAAATTAGGATGTCACTTGGATGTCGTGTGTATCATGTCATCGACACTTGTCAACTATTCTTATTGAACTCGGGCATGAGTATCGGGTGGCTATGTGTCGAGGTCTTGGACCTCTCCGAATTTTAAATCTTAGGATGTGAGGAAATCTGTCAAAAAATTGGATATGGGTACGTAGATACGTTCTAGGCGTTGAAAATCATTATATGTTATTATACGATCTAATGTATGATGTGATTGTTCTTTAAAGAAATACTCAATTAGAATTAAAATTAAATGGACTTTGGTAAACAGAGGAGATTTCTATCCATCTCACAACTAGGAAACCTTTCTCACTGATCAAATTTGAGTTTTTTATTGTTCTTTCAGTATAAATTTAGGTATGTGGTGGACACATTCCATACCCATATCTATGTTGTGTTATGTTGACATGGGTACGTGACAAGGAGTAGGAGATTCCATGTAACATAGCCTGTCAAAATAAGATGTCATTTTAGCGTCACGTGTACCTACAGTACCTAGCATTCACATGGCTACATAAATTGTAGGCTTCTATCAAGTCTTCAAAATGCTGCTGGATGTTGTGTGGATGGTATTTTATTTATACACCGTATTTGTTTCAATGAATTTATTTTTGCATGACAATGCATTTTTTTATTTTATTTTTTCTTTAGGTAAATACTCACAGACACACTTATGCACCCCCACAATTGGGCTTGAATCCTCACCACTCCTTTGAGGAGAAGAGGTTATACCATTTGGACTAATGGCTTGGTAGTATGACAATGCATTTTCATTTCTTATTGTTCTTTTGGGAACATTAACTTTTGCTTATATGTTGTGAAATCCTGAAAATTCACTTGTCATCTTACCGTATGGTTTTCTTGGTTCAATTATCCAAAGGAAACAAGCAGCGGTTTGTTATTGGCCTATTTTATTAAAGCCATTCCAACTACAAAGAACTATAATTCAACGATAAAGACTTCAAGTATGAAGTTCAAATCTTGTTTTCTAGAATATATTTCGTCATGGATTTGATTTTGTAAAATGTACACAAAGTTATACTGTCATGTTTCCAGATACATCTAAGGTTTTATAGTGAGAGTATTCATGAGTTGTACTTATGTAAATGTATTACTTTTCATTGTGGCAGCCTTTGAAGGTGTTTCTTCCCTCAAGGGGTGATAAATATCTATGATGATTGAGGACATTAATAACAGTTCAATGTTAAATTGATTTTATTTAGTGGTTGATATGTTTATTTATGAAAACAGAAGAGGCAGCAAAAAGAATAACTGTTGCAAATTATTTTTAGTGTCATGGGATTGTAAATATGTCGTGATCTTTTTCCAAATATGGGATAGAAAGGCATATTTTTGAGCTTTTTATTTGTTTTATATATGTATATATGTCTTGGTAGTAACTCATAGGTGAGGCAGCCCAATTTTATGTCAGTGTGACAATTGCTATGGACGTTATCTTAAACCTACCTATGTGAGCATAAATTACCTCAACCTTGCTCTGATCCTTGTGCTGGGAGTCTGGAAGGGCCTAGAAAAATTGTTGGGACTGGGCCCCACTGGGTAAAAAGAAGAGGACTTCTGAGCTTAAATTTATAGAACATCAGTAATCTTCAATCTATACATTGAAGAAATAGAATTAGATTTCCTAAAATATAGCATAAAAAGATAAAAAAAATAAATAAAAAGGAAAAATACTAATGACAGAGATTTGGGTACCATTTGGGGGGCTTTTTTGGGACCCCAAAATGGGCTTATCGACCCAAGAAGTCCTTCCTCAAATAAAATGAATGTTTGGCGAGTTTCCTTAAATGGAAGTCCAACCATTTAAATGTCCGTTTCCCTGAAGCTGTCAAACTTACTTCTGAGATAGCACATTAAGTAATAAATATTTTATTAACAATTTAGGCTATCTATTATTTTGTATTATCCATATTAACTTTATATCTGCATTTAAGTTGGTAATTTGTACCTCTCTCCACATTCTCTCTCAAAACTTAGCATTCAGTCTCTGTACCTTTTCTCCTAAGATTTTATCATTATCATTTACATCATGATTGATTAAAATCCCAATCCTCAATACTCAGTTGACTGTAAAACCAAGGAACCCCTCCACAGCCCTTACAGATGAACTAATCAACCCCAATGAAAGAAAAATCCAGAGAGTTAACTGTTGCACAATTTGCAAGGAGGGTCGTAGCCACCAGCATAGTCGCTGAAGAACAGAGGCACCACCCTCTGCAATAGGGATACTACCAAACTTTCGCTCCTTGTGCTGTTGTGCCTTCTAAAGGTAAAATTCGTGATGTTTTGATGTAACAAAGTATCTAAATAAAATTACATAGAGAGCACTTGGACAAAATTCAGTGTGTTTAAAGAGAGATGAAAGGGGTTGGGATTTGGAGATTAGTATTGGTGTGAATAAGAGTGTTAGAATTTTACTTTAACCATAACTTAATAGCACTTGTTTCACTTAAATATTGTTGCTTCTGCTCTTGGTTCAAATAAGTTTTTCTACAAGTTCTTGAATTTTTGTTGCTTGTTGCATGTGCAAAGGGGACTAAATTTATTTTGGAATTATTTATTGGAGGAGCTATGGGTTTAATTGGTGCACTGAGTTCATTGTGTCATTTTGGATAGCTTTTACACTGTTTTGGAAAGTTTGCACAATTATTATTATTTTCGGAAGTTGACTTTGCATAATTATTAATCCTAATATTATAACATTTTTAAAGCTGCAGAATCTAGAAATTTCATTTTTTTTTTATTTTCAGAATTTGTATGGTCAGAAAGACTTCAGGGAAGAATGGTTCTCACTGGCTGGTAGAATGTTTTGTAATAAGATCCTTAACATCCTAAGATGGGATCGTATTGCTTAGCTTATGACTTGAATACATGGCACCTATTTCTCATATGAATCATTTCCACGTGGAAAAGAAATATAAAATTCAAAACGGAAGATCTTACTACAATAAATTTTTCCGGGGACATTAATAGAATATGATTTGCTTCAATACTAATTGATTTTTTACTTCAAATTTTCTGCAGGCTACTGCCTTATCATGTGGTGGCAGACTATGAAGCAGAAGAGGATGATAGAATCCTTGATTCTGACACAACGGGCCAGATGGTGTCTCGCTCCCAGCAATGGGACCACAACATTGCTGCCAAAGTTGCAGAGTTCATGGTCACATTTGAGAAGCAGGCTCTTGCCTTCAATATAATTTCCCGCAAGCGTACTGTTGGTGAATTCCGGTCAGAGGAGAGGTTGATGATTGAGCAGGCTCTCCTACAAGAAGAGAGGAGAGCTGTGTTCGAAGTGAGGGCAGAAATGGAGTCAAGGGAGAAGGCTGGCAGAGAGGCTCATGAGGCTAAGTTGAGAATGGCAGCAGCGATGGTTCAGGCAGAGCAAGCTCGGGTGGGGTCACAGGCTCATGCAGAGATGATGGCTCGAGCTCCAATTCGAGCGAGTGCACTTGGGTCTCAAGGCAATGATGTTGGGATTGGTGATGACATGTCTGAACAGGATGAAGGAGTTAATAATGATGAAATGATTAATGGATGGGGAAACAATATGCAGAGAGATGAGAAAGAGCCATCTGAGGATTTCTTGAATGATGAGGAGACGGAAAATGGAGACACAGGCATGCAGAATGAGTGGCATGAAGTGGGAGAGTTCGATTTAAATACAAGATAAACCTCGAAATGGTGTTTAGGAGAGCTCATGGTATGGACAATCAAAGAAGTTTGGGCTGTAAGTTGATATGGGTGAAGTGGGTAGATAATCTTTAAAATGGATAGGTAAAATGTTGCCATTTCATGGATAGGACAGTAATAATAGTGGCATGTCTACCACCAAGTTGACACCCATGCATGGGTCTGTAAGTCTGTTGTCGAAACATGTTCATAAATCAAGACTCTACTTGGGCTTTCCAATGAGAACTTTGATTTGCATTATTTTTTGTATTCACATTGCAGTTCTTCTCTTGTTTAAGTAAAGCTCAGTTTTAACAAGTGGTAGGGGAAAATGTAGTGGCAACTGCCAAGAATACTGTGTGTGTGTGTGTGTGTGTGTGTGTCTCACTATTCCCTAATATAGATTGGTGGTTGCACTAGGACGATGAATCCATATGCAGACTGAATAGAACCCATTAGGCTCCCGTTTCTCTCACACAAAACAAACAAATACGGTTGAACTTTATTAAATTTTCTTTTCTTCTTTTGTGATGAAATCACAAGGTCAATCTAACTTATCAATTACAGAAACAGAGTTAATTTCTTGTTGAGGTTCATAAAGGAGTGTGAATCAATGTTTAATACGGAATAATAGTGATGGAACTTGTACTCTTTTTTTTTCTTTTCTTTTTTCTCACACTTAATTATCTTAATATCAGGCTGAGTCATTCTTCTGACCAGCGTCCGAATGCAAGGAAATACACAACAAACTAATGAACTATTAGCCCAGTGGTAACGGTCAATTCACAAAAGTGTGTGCCATGCCATTTGAGTACAGACTTTCTATTATTAAGTGTTTGTAAAAGAACGAAAATTTACAAAAGTGTGTGCCATGCCATTTGAGTAGAGATTTTCTATTATTTAGTGTTTGTAAAAGAAAGAAAGAAAAAATGTTCATGAACTAATGACTTGTAAGCGTAGATCACATAGAAATACAACAAGTATAGAAGGAAATTGATACTAAACTAAAATATGATTGAAGAATGAAATCAGTAAGCATATACAGTTCATTTCAAGAGGCAAATAATGCTCAGCTGTGGTCTGAAGAATCTGAACCAAAAAACACACCACCATGTAATTTCGAATCTATACCATGACCTGTTAGCTTTGTTCGTGTACACGTTTGTAAACATATTTTTACAATTTACTGGTAGTGCAGGATAGCATTCTTCAGCACTCCAATTTCATTTTCGCAAAAGATGTTGTCACATCTATCGCTTCCTTTATCTGTGTTATTTCAGTTCCCTGAAATAAAAGAAAGCAAAAAAATTATCAACTAACTAAAGGATGCAAGATACAACCACCCTAAAAAATGAAGTGACTTTTATCTTAGCCTCTGTTAATAATCCAAAACATTAATGAGACTCAAAGAAACCCTAGTTGTAATGCACGAATTGAGAGGGGGAGGGAGGGAGACAAGGGATGGGGGTGGGGCGGAATTTGTAGCTTCTAATGATGAATATTAGAGGTAAGTATATATATCTACTCTTAATCTAATACTAAATCTTACAAGCAAATGTAGCGGCTCTTATTAGGTTTTAAATCAACTAAATTAAACTTTTGTGAGTGGATTATTTTTATTCTTGTTTTAGGATATAAACCAGATTCAATTGTAAAGCAAATTACAAATCCACGCAATTTAATTTCAATCTTGTTCACTATCTAAATTGACTAGAGATTTCAATTTACTTTTTGATTTTTGTAATATGAACATCTAATTTGTCAAGTGAATTAATTAGGTGTTTGCAACAATGTTGATTATTCAAATTGATTTGAGATTTATTGCATTCTAGTTTTCGATTTGTACAATCCATCATAATAATTATATTTATTATAGTTTTAAACTTCGATGCTTGGTTATGATTATGTATCAATTAAATTGTTGGAGATTTGGTGGCATGTAAGCAACTTTTGCTACACGCATATTCCACCAACCACCAACACTTTTAAATGCTTGCACTTGTCTCCTTTCTCTGGTACCCCAGCACAAACAGGAGCCTTCTGTGCAGTTTCATCTGTGCTGAAAACCATAACTGCCATCCCCTGTCCATCTACCAAGCATACAGTGAGGGGAAAACTCATAGACATAAGAATAAGATAAGAAAGAATGTAGCACCAAGTTGGTCAACTGGGAAGCTAAAAGCAGTTAACAACCTTGTGCTCCATTACTCTAACAACTGCTTCGCGGATTGCAGCAGTGTCTGAACCAACAAATATCCACATGTGAGATGCACAAGGCCTTTCCATTAGAACCAGCCGATTCGGCCATCTGAATTGCAAGCTTGACAGATTTCTGTATATTCTCTTCCGCAATCTTCTTTTTCGCTTTTATTACCTGATTCTGATCGAATAAACAAACTTACTATCATTAGTACCCATAGGCAGAACTCCAGAAGAGTATTCATAAATCAGAGATGACAAATTTTCCTGTTCAGCATAAGTACAATACCTGAAGAACAGAAATTTTGGCCTTAAGATCAACTTTCTTGGCTGCAGGAATAGTCGCTGATTCCACGCGACCATTTAAACAAGTTACTTTCTGGAAAGAGAGGAGGAAATTTAGCCGACTGAAAAACATACTGGAGCATAAAAACTTTCAAATTTAACAAATGATAATCCCTTAAAAGAAACAATTAAGTTCTGTTTCGAATTCAACAAAATTCCTAGCAACAATTGTTGACAATTTACATAACCAATCTGTTTAAAGCACAAAGATTCTAATTTTTTTATTATAGCAATTCCATAAGAGATGTGGCTACACTAGCTTATGCATCGTGTTGCTCAAGGTAAACGCCCTAAACTTTACTCATTTATGCTTAGGATTCATGTTTGTATTAAACCTGATGAAAGGTTTACGATGGCTGTAAGGCTACCTAACGCAACCCTCCCCCATCCTTTTCTCATGTTTGGGACCAGCTTTGTAAAGGTAAGGTAGTAAACATGTCACAGGCGGTTGAATGAAAAGATGAGTGGGTACATTGTGGAAAGTATAAAGACTGGCACTGAGAAGAAGGAATACTGCTAACTGGGTAAAGTAGATGTGCAAAAACAGACAATGAAAGCACTGTTTATAAAATATTGGTGCTAGTAGTAAATGCAATAGAAAAAGACACAGTACGCTGGCTCCAGAAAAGGAAAATTAATAAAGAATATATCTCCTAAACAGATCCAGTTTTGAAACACGCGATTTAGTTTTCTAAAGAAGAAATTACAAAAAGTGATATTGATTGACAAAATGTTATAAAATCAGAACCAACCTGTTCCAGCAAGCTTCCTTTTCTGCCTTGGATGCCTCGTTTATTTCATGCTAAAGAGAGAGTGCAAATTCCATGGCCTTAAAAGCACAATCTGTTGTAACAGCAGTTACTCTACGGATTCCCTTAGCAATTCCCTCCTCAGATAGAAGAGCAAATGCCTTGGCCTCTCTTGTATTTGATATGTGAGTTCCTAAACAGATCCACAACTTCAGCTTCAATTTAAATTTACAGGAAAAGGTCCAATAAGAGGGATCAGAGTTAAGAAGATATAAACCTCCACAAAGCTCTGCAGAAATTGAAAGCCACTCTTCATTTTCTGGATCAGCCAAGAGATCCTCCACTTTTTGACCAACTGCAACAATCCTGACTGGGTCAGGATAGACCTACAACAAAAAAAGCAAAAAAATAAATATATTGAAGAAAGCTTGTAACTTAGCACAGTTCTGCTATTTGCTGCGTCTACACTCATAACCAACTCCAAAATATAATGATGACAGAACTGAAGCAGCTTACTTCTCCAAAAACAGCTCGTAAACCATTTATATGCTTAGCATCAGCCAGCAATGCCTCCTTCGCAAATACATCCAGTTCAGCTTTGATTTGATCATTAACGATGGACTCAATTTTTCTCAATTCAACAGGTTTGACAGGCTTGGCTGTTCAAAATTCAGAAGAATTCAGAATTTATTTTGGCCAAACCGCCAAAACACTAGTCTAACTATATATAACCTTACCATGAGAGAAATCAAATCTCAATTTTTCAGGAAGAACTATGGATCCCTTCTGATCAATGTGATTACCAAGTACTTCCTGCACTCATTTCAAGAGTATTTAGAGAACCAATCCACAAATGAATCAAGAAAAGAATTAAGATTGGAAGCTCAGCGCAATATCATTTTGGAATTACCCTGAGGGCAAAATTCAACATGTGTGTACAGGTGTGGTTAGGAGCAATGAGCTTACGCCTCTCATAGTCAACCTGCAAATGTCATTACAGAAGTAACTACAGTTCAAGCAATCATATCTTATACTTACGCAACCGAGTATAAATGTAAGCATGTATTGAAGCAAAAGTCTAGTATTAGAAGGAATTTTACCTTACAAATTACTTTATCACCCACAACGAACCTGCCGGACTCACCAGCAAAAGAACCAATATGAACAACGAAGCCTCCATAAATTTGAACATTACTAACTTTAAATGATCCAAAGGGGCATTCGAGTGATCCAGTATCAAATATCTATAACCCCACAAACTATGTCAGATATAAACAACTTTTCTTAAAATGAAACAATGATGCAAATCATTACATAAATAAAATTTGGAAATTACACAGCAAGATTCCGGACCTAAAAGCATTAAACATATTTTTTCGAATAACATTAAGTAAAATGAATTAGATAATTCAAAAAGTGGGTAGTATTCAATAATGACACAATATATTTGAGACTCCAATGTGTCTATAAGAAAAGAAAATAAAAAAAAAATGTGGTGATACATTTTCAACTGAGCACAGAAGTTCTATAATCAAGGATAATAAATATGATGTTCTTGTACATATGGTTGCATTCCCAAGTTCCAAGTCAAAAATTCAAGTTGGTATAATTTCATCTTCAGTGGCAAGTTCTAACTGTGTTTCTAATACAAGGTTATAGAATTTAGGCTTCCTCAATCACAGAAAACAAGAGATCACTCTATGTTCTAACTGCAGAAGAGGGAATATTTTTCTCAGAAGAGGAAGTGGAACAAAGCGATTGGCTAGAGCATTTTACATGACTCAAATCGTGGTTTTGAATGCAAGATCGCACTCACAATTCAATTATAACTATTCGAATTTTAAACTTTTTAAGTATTTCTGAACAAGTTAATATGATTTTAAAACAATGTCAGCTAAAATATTTCTTGAAAACCACCAAAGTGTACAAATATCATATCTATTGTGAATATCCAAGTGCATCTGAACTCTTCTGTCATGAAATTCACGTATACCTAAGAGAAAATTCAGA